AAAAAAAAAAAACCCAACAAAAAACAACCCCACCCCCCAAAATGTTTTTCCAAATCGTACGCTCACAAATCCCTTACACAAAGAACAAGACGCAAAACCCCGGCAAACAAGAAAGCTCGACAAGAAACACGTCGGTCGCTACCTCAGCATTACTAGATCTAGATCTATTTCTAAGTTCTATCTGACATTTCCGGCTGTTTTGAGTGACTAAGACAATGAGGTCATACACCTAATAATGTTCTACCTGTTCTATCAAAGCCGTTAGTGGGTGGTTGGCGGGTGCTCTGGTGCGGTTTGCTTCTTCCTTGAAACATCTATCATCCTTATCTCCCCTCCTTCTTTTTTATTTTGTTACTCTCTTGTGACACATCAAATCTTCTGGCACTCATATGACCTTATGCAGTTGCGAGCGCCGTAAAACCTCTACTATACTAAACCAAAACTGTTAGATTATTCGTTATTGAGATATTCAAAGAACAGCTTTCGAAAAAGCTACGTATGTATGTCCACATGGCTAAAATCTGAGAAATAACTCGTTTTGTCAGCACGCCTCACAAACGAAGAGGCTATAAGATGATACAAATAACTCCATGTACCCAGATATTGACGAGAGCCTGATTCCACCATGTCGTGGCACAAATTTCTCCAAACTCAGTACTGATGGCGCTCATATGACCTTATGCAGTTGCGAGCGCTGTAAAACCTCTATGTACTAAAACAAACAAACTAGGTACTGATGGCGCTCATATGGCCTTAAGCAGTACCTCTACTAAAACAAACTAGGAACTGATGGCGCTCATATGACCTTATGCAGTACCTCTACTAAAACAAACAAACTAAGAACTGATGGCGCTCATATGACCTTATGCAGTACCTCTACTTAAACAAACAAAACAAACTAGGCACGGAGCAGGCAGATAGAAGTTAGTAATCCTGAGGTACCGTGGCGAAGTGACTGACCAGTAGACGAAGTTGATGCTAGCCATGATCACCACAAAGCCCAGGGCAGACAGCAGAGGCATGTAGGGCAGTTTCGAGATGTTGGGGATTTCT